TATACACCTTATATAAACCTCACCCTAACATGGGATTGTATAACAGTAAGACCATTTATCATTGGAATAAGGAGGTCAAAGCTATCCTATCTATCAAATATCAAATCGGATAGCTTAAAGTGTGTCACAAAATTTGACAAAAATTCTTTGAAATTTAAGCAGGGCCCTCTCAGCCTTCCAATTTCAAAATCCATAAGCTCCAAGTTAAGATTTAAGCCTGATCAATTAAGCACTATCAGCCTTCCAATTTCAAAATCTAACAGCTCGAAGTAATTGTGAGTTCCTTATACAAGAGATAAAACAACCTTTATAAAACAATCTTTATAGTTCCATACATATATAGGCTACTAATAGGATGTCAACTAAAATAAATATTCATGTTATGCTTCATCTATCAGATTTTGATTGGAAGGTGCTTCATCTATCCGATCTTAACTGCATGGTTGAGAATACATATTTACTTTTTAAATTTTAATATTGTTTTATAAATCTAATCAAGATGAAATTTTGTATCAACTACATATCATAATGCGCAAAAAATTATAAAACAAATATTTATCAAAACTAAAAATGGCCATACTACCCATATAATATGACTAGGGCTTCTTGGACCGTTTAAATTCTGAAAATATTTTTATATTATTATATGGTATGCGATATTGCCATGTAGATACATCTAAAATTTTGGCTTAATCATATTTGTAAACAAGATTAACATTCAAACAGTAACACACTTTTTAACCATTGTATATATTTCCATATAGATAAAGCTTCTAATAAGATACCAACTATTATGTTATGCTTCAGCAGTTAGATCGTGATTGAATGGTTGAAAATACATGTTATTTTTTTAATTTTAGTTTTTTTTGTTATTACAAAGTGGATTAAGATGAAATTCAATACATGTATACTATATATTATAGTGTATAAACAATTATAAAACAAATACTTCTCAAAACTACAAATGACCAAACTACCCCCATACTAAAACTAGGTAATTTGGATATTTAGAATTTTGAAAATATATTTTATATCTTTTTATACGGTGTGTGATAGTGCCATGTAGATACATCTAAGATTTTAGTTTAATCCGTTTTGTCAAAACAAAAAAGAAAAAAGAGAATAAAAGTCCAGCTATAAAAGACATTTTTCACCATATGATAAAAAATCTAACAGCCAGCAATACAACTTAAACCACAATTGTGACAACTTCTTAATATTTTTTTCCTGTGCGTGTGTGCTAGTATTTTGTATGTATAGTATACACACGCTTATCATTATCCAACGTCTGAGTCGTGACCATCTACAAGAATTTCCAATAATAAATTGAATTTTAATATTTTTCTACAAATCAATTATCTGAAATTTTGAATGCGAGTACACCTAACTGATTTGGACAAAAATAAACTCTTAAAAAATAATTATAAAAATAAAATGACGAAAATACCCCTAAAATAGATATATGGGTATTATGGTTTTTTTATATTATTCAAATTACTTTTATGTATTTTATTTAAATGCGCCTCAATAAGGAGTCATACACCCACCAAATTTAAATTTAAAGTTCATTTGATTTATTAAAAAAATATTAAAATTCAAATATGATCAAGCGATCTTTACTATTAGCTCTGGATGATGACATGCGACATAAAATAATATAGTTCATTCATCAGTGTTTTCAAGTGTTTTTTTATGGGCTTGTGAGTGTATTTCCCTAACAATAACCAAGCCCTCAGGGCATCGATATTTTTTTTTTTTTGGGCAAGTAACGAGCGGTTAAGTCATTGGGGATTTAAGCCTTACCCTATGGTGAGAATGGAATCAGAAACATCACCACGAGGCTCGACAATACTACCATCTTAAGCCATTCTCAGAAAAAGTGGTAAATCGGTGCGGATTTGGGCCCCTACTCTTTGATGAGAATAGAGTCAGACCATCCATGATGCTCGGCAATACCACCGCCAAAAGTCCAAGCTACCCTTAAAAGATAAGTCAATAGATATTTGAGCCCCTACCTTTTGGTGAGAATGGAGTCAAAACATCACCATGAAGCTCGACAATACTACCCCCAAATATCCAAGTCATCCTTAAAAGATATGTCAGTGGGGATTTGAGCCCTACCATTTGGTGAGAACGAAGTCAGAGACATCACCATAAAGCTCGACAATACTAACGCCAAGATCCCATGCTACTCTCAAAAACAAAATGAAAGTGATAAGTTAATAGGGATTTGGGCCCCTACCTTTTAGTGAGAATGGAGTCAAATACATCACCATGAGCTCGACAATACTACCGCCAAGGCCCTAGGCGATCCTTAAATTTAATCATCAAAGCCAACTAATAAGCAATTCTAATATATCTAAAAAGTGGTAAATCAATGGGGATTTGAGCTCCGATGAGAATGGAGTCATACACATCACCATGAAACATCTTCGTTTGGAACAGCAATCTCAAATATTTAATAAATGATATATTGACAGTAGAACTAGAAGGCGGGACATTATGTTTTGGCATCCGCTCCCTAAGTCCCGACCCCATTTAGACAAAGAGTATGACAATGATATTAAGAAATTTGTGTTCTAATGCTTCTCCAGAATACCCTCTTTGTATTTGCCTTCAAATTAGCTGCATTATAAAAAAACATTTTGTACAGAAGATTATGAGAATGCACCAACCAATAAGTAGGGCTGGCAACAGGTCGACCAAGGACCGGCTGGACCGGACCCCAAAAACTATTATGGGACCCAGACCACGACCTAGACCTGGACCCAGACCTGACCTGATTGGAAATGTGGGACCTAAATCCAAAACCAAATAATGTTCGGGTCCAAATATTGGACCCAGACCTGACCCGTCAAGTCCAATATTTGGACCCATACCCAGACTCGAGTCAGGTATACCTGCCGGGTCTCAGGTCAGGTTCGGGTCCATTGCCACGCCTACAAATGAGAATGGACTCAGTTTATCAAACCAGAGTTTAGCCTAATGTAGGATGGGCTACTACAGGAACCAATTCTTCCAACCTAAAATGTCGCTTAAATCTAGACAGAGAGAGGCCAACTCAATGGGAAGAACCAGAACTCAGTGGTAAGAAACAGAATATCAAGAGCTATCGCAATTCAGTAATGGTTAACAAGTAACACAATCCCGACATATAAGGAAGGACACTATGATTCCAAGTAGAAATTCGTCCCTTTTAAAAATCCATTTTTGAGACCGAACAATTTTTAAGAACATACAATATCAAAAAATAAATAAATTTAAAAATTAAATATAATAATTTTATGCAAAAAATATTTAGACCGTTAGTTTGCTTTTAGATGGACCACCCATTCAAGGTGAATAGTATATACCTCGGGGGACACAAATGTAGAAGTCCCCCGACACATGGAACAATATTTCCTAAGAAAAATGTCACCACAAGATCATCTCCTAGCAGAGCAATAAGGACATCATGAAATGCAAATAATCCCATTTTATGCAAACACCACCGAGAACAAAGAATGATCCAATGTCATATCCAAATAATCTCATTTCCTATGCTCTATGACAATGTGTGACTTGGAAACAAGCTAAAAATCAATTACCAGACTTGATTCACTTGCTTTTGACACATACAAAGGTGAATAACTACCGCATGAGAGTCTATTGCGAGTCATATATCATTAGCACATACATAGAGCACATTAACCTAGATGGATCACCAGAAAACCCTAAACTCTGTTACCACAGCATCTCTTTGGACTCAATTCACAAAAATCACATTATATCCTTATGATTTCAGTTGTCTTGTAACCAGCTCTAGCCCTGAAGTTACATTTCTCTAATTCAAAGTTCTTTTGCTAATCACAAATATTTCATAGCACCTTTTAAGTCGATCAGTCTCATTGCGTCTAGGACGGCAATATCACCTTAAAAGTAACTGTTGAAGTTAGTCAAAATTATCCATCCTGTTCCAGATTGTGGTTCATTAATTAAAGATATTCTGCAATCTACAAGAAATTTATAGATTCCGTAACATACAGGGTCTTGTAGCTATAACCATCTACAACTCGTGCTTATACTAAAATTATACTAAAAATTAACATGAAAAAAAGTAGAGAGATCCCACCACAACTCCATTGGTAATACATTATAAACTTATAACAGTGATAATTAAGCTAAAATTCATTTTAAATGATGTTAATCTCTTATTAGGAATCAAAATTGGGTGGAATTAAAAATATTGCATTCCATTTCATAAGGAAAACATGCACGCGCCCGTATGTACCTACACTCCATACCACAATCTATTCACACATTCATAAAAACCAATACATGACAAACCTACATATGTACCTATACTCCATACCACAATCTGTTCACACATTCATACAAACCAATACATGAGAAACTTACATCAAACTAATTTGATGCAACATTTCCCTATATAACAGTGAACTGAAGTTTTGGAATATCTTGCTAGAGGAATACAACACAGCAATCTTGATTCACACACATAAGCAATGAAAAATGACACCAACCCCGGGAACTTGATGATTTAGTTTTATTCCCAAGCTAACAATAAAAAAAATCTAGTCATAAAAAATCCATACATTCAGAAAACGAAAGACAATACAAAAGCATAAGCATAGAAGGTTTAATCTGAATAATAAATTATCTCTCCATATCAGATCAACAGAACTAGTGCGCATCATAACCAACCCACAACATCAAAAAATTTCAAAGAATGAAAAACCTACTATACGCAACTAAGAAGTTCCAACATTTTGCTTTTGAGGAAATGGTTAACCAAGAATTCCAACATTTCCCCAATAAAAACTAAGAAGTTACAGCATTCCCAAATTTTAAACTGAAGTTCATAAAATCCCGTGAAAATTATATATCCCACAAAACCCCAACGAACAATCAATACCCAACCAAACCACACAGTGCAAAATCATAAACATATCAGACATAAATTATCAACAGCGAAAATCATAGTATAATAAAAACCAGAGAGAAAAGGAACCTATCAATATAACAAAACTTTAAATTCTTGAAGGTCAAAATCCCAAACATAAAATGCATAAACCTTCCTCAGTATCTAGAGAAACTGGTAGAGTTCCGTCCATTTCCTAAATGAACCATAAGCTGGAGCAAAAAGGGTCCAAAAAACCCTAATTATCCAAAATCATGACAGAAAACCCCTGAACAAAAACGCTATCAAATAAATCCTACATATCGACAGAAAGGAAGTGTTTCATTTACTCTGCACCCGCTTTCTGGTAGACATAGGTGAGGCCGCACTTCCCACAGTAGTGCCTATCAAAGTGATTCGCCATGAATGTCCCAGCTCCGCACTCCTGGTTAGGGCACTCCTTCCTGATCTTCTGAACCTTTCCAGAGTCATCGACCTTGTAAAATTGAAGAATAGGGAGCTTCACCTTCTTCTTCTTGTGCTTGATCTTCTTGGGTTTGGTGTAAGTCTTCTTCTTCCTCTTCTTTGCCCCTCCTCTGAGTCTCAGAACCAGATGAAGAGTAGATTCCTTCTGGATATTGTAATCAGCTAGTGTTCGGCCATCTTCAAGCTGTTTGCCTGCGAAGATGAGGCGTTGCTGATCTGGTGGGATGCCCTCTTTGTCCTGGATCTTGGCCTTGACATTGTCAACTGTATCAGAGCTCTCGACCTCAAGGGTAATGGTCTTACCCGTTAGGGTTTTCACGAAGATCTGCATTTTCGAAACCCTAGAATTGCAGAGAAAGGTCGACGAGGGTCGAAATACGGTTGGGAAAATGAAACCCTAGAATTTGCTGTCTTATATATGTGGAGGCAGAACTGAAACCCTAGAATTTGGCGCGGCTCGAGCCATGGCCCATCATAATTACGTGTTTGACCCTATTAAGTTTTTATATTTTTTTTTTCTGACATATTGCGAGGGATTTAAAATTGGTCGGAACATAAACACTTGGTACATAGGACCACAGGGAGTTTATCAATTTATGGTCATTATGTCTATCACCGTAGATTCATTGGGTCGACAGGTGGATTTTGAGAGACAGAGAACCCGAACAGTTAATTGAACGGTTATAGTAATTGTGGTTATTTCTCTTTCAGTGTAAAAAATAGTGGTTTAGGTTAGTCGAACTGGAATGGGAATCGTTTCAAACCTAATTAGTCTTATTCTTATGGATTCCCCTAGTTCTGGACCCAAGTTAGTTTGTCATGGTCTCATGGAACTAGGCGATTTAGTAGTAGATCGTTCCCACACATTACATTATTTATTATTTTTTTAAAAAAAATTATAGTTGTATGGAGCAATTTTCACCGGAGAATAAGTCTGATTCTCCGATCCAAACCAGCTCCAAATGATTGATTCACCTAGCGGCCTCTTTTTTAAAAATGTATTTGTATGGTCACATGACCTTTTGGACTTATGCTATGAGATTAGGAAAAAGTTTATACAAGAGTGAGGCCCTAAACAATCAAACTAAGGCATACCTCAAAATTTCACTAGAGGATATTATTTTGATGCCAAAAAATCGCAATTCAATCATCACGACCTCAATATGTATGGACATGAAAAACTATAGCCTTCAAGTCTTGGAAATAGTGCATCTTGTAATGTATTATTTAGATCATCAATTTTCAAGTGTTCATAGATATGCTAAATTTATACTATTTTTTAATATTTAAATTTTATAATTAGATAAAAAATAAATTCTCAAGCTATCACAAAGATTTATGATCAACATGTTTCGGCACTATTTAAATATGTGCCTCTCTAGGCATTGATTATTTTTTTTTCCTTCTATTTTCCTCTCTTTCTTTCCATATAAAATAGAATTTTATTATCATATTGTTTTGGCACAAAGAGGTCATAATCAAATAAATGTCAAATATTTAATATGACATTGCGCCAAGAAGAAAAATTTTAAATTTGAAAACTAAAATTGATTGCTGCCTCTTCGTAACAAAAAATAAACTATGATATGATTTTCCTAAAAGTAAACATAATGCCTTTATTTGTTACATCAGCCAAGCGTTATGCCGCTATTGTCCCGATTCACTTCTTAAATATTGCTCTTTTGTGACCAACTTAAACCATATAACATTTTGATTAGTGGTTTTTTTTGGGTAAATTTTACTTAAAATAGTTTTGTGTTGCTAATTGTTGTTTTTTTTTTTGGATAATGCTAAAATCTTTTATTAGTGAAACAATATATTAGAGCATACTACTCTACAAGAACACCTTTGGCAGCATAGCCAAAGAGTCCGCCTCCGAATTTGCCTCTCTAAATACATGCTGGACGACGACATTGAGAGTTGAACACCAATCCATAATTTGAGTCCACCAAGACTTCAGCTTCCATATGATCTTTTCCTCTTTCTTACACCACTGGATAATATTGGGATAGTCTCGTTCAGTAATAAATGCCAAATAACACCTTTGCCTCTACAAACTAGTAATCATTGCCATAAATATCATAATTCAGCCTGATTAGCAGTAGTAGTACTACACGGGCCGGTATAGCTGAAAATAACCATATCTTGTGTATCCTTTAATAGTCCACCATAACCAGCTAGTCAAAACTCCTATCAAAATACCATATAAAGTATCCTTGAGAAGGTGATAACCATCTGCCCAATGGTCGGGACTTAAGGACCCGGTTTCTATACAGCCAAGCTCGCATATGTAGAATTGCGGGTCTCTTAATAAATCTATTTTTTAAGATGGATTTTAAGATTTAATTTTTAAGAACATGTAATCTCTGACATGGAGATCGTGAATATAAATAAATAAATAAATTTTACGAACTAAAAATAATAATTCTAGTGAGAAAATATTTGGACTGTTAGTTTTCATTGTTTTTAGATGGAACACCTATTTGTATCCATCTTTAAGATAAATTCTTTACACTTCTCAACTGTATATGTAGAAATGCAGTCCAACCCGTGTGAAACACTTTTCCTTACGTAAATTAGCAACAAAAAAATCCCCACTCCTCTTGAGTTAAAAAAAACAAATGCCAAAGGATACCAAAATTTTATTTTTCAACTCTCTAATGTCTACACTCTACACCATCAAAGGTCATCTTGTTCCTTTCCTTTCATACCTCTCTTAAGATTGTTGCTCTAAAACTTTTCCAGATAACCACACTATATTTAGGCAAACTTGGAATCTAGAAATGTAGCAAAATATCCCTATGGCTTCTTGGTAGCACCAACATATGACCCATCTTCAATTGAGCCCACACCCAAATGTGAGAAGCAAAGGAGCAACAAAAAAAATGGATGGTCACCCATTTCCCTATCATATTTGCTGAATAAATATATTAAGTAAAATTTTACCCCTCTTTTTTAAATTATCAGTTGTGAGGCCCTTACCTTGCATTGCAACCCAAATGAAAAATTGAACTTTGTGCGGTACCGTCCATTTCCAAACTTCTTTCAGGCCCACCTTGTTACCATCTAACACGATCATAGAAGAGCAACATGTACAAAGACTTCCACCCTAACACTCCATTCTCTGGTTCCCAAATAACCTCATCTTCCACATTACTAGATGAGTGAACACTATCTATTTCTTACAAAAGACTAGCCACCTGAGTATGAATGAAATTAGGTACTCTATTATAAGACCATTAACATGCCACACCAAATCTGTCATCTGGCCGAGCTCGCTCTCTAATCTTGGCATGGGGATTGGAAACTCTAGAGAATAAGAGATTTCAAAGGTCTATCACCCAACCATTTATAGAACCAAAAGGAAACAGAGTCACCTTGACCAACCAACCAACAAATGTTCCTATCAATCAAACTCTTTCAGCTCGAAATTCCTTTCCAAAGAGAAGAAGAGAGAGATCCACTTCTTCTTCTACCAATATGCAATAAGAAGGTGCATTGTTCAACACCATACTTATTTTCAATTAGCTGCCTCCAAAGTTGATTGGTATCAGTTAAAGATCTCCTCCACCATTTAGCAAGAAATGCCTTATTGATTAGTTTCAACTTCTAATATCTAATCCTCCATCCCTATTTTTGGGGTACATAATTTCCCCCAACTTACCAAAATTTCCAATAATTGTTAGTGTTGCTAAATGTTCTTAAAAGATGAAGACTACAGGAAAACCCAAAATTATCCGTGCTAATAACTTCATAATATTGCTCTTATTACCACATGAAACCATACTAAGTACCACGAATTTGTTTTGAAAAATAGAGAAATTTTAAAAATGTAGAACTTAAATTCATTTCCTATTCTTGTCCATTTGTAATTCATGTCTTGGATAAAATAAGACTTGTCATCTATTTTTTTAATAATAAGAACGGGTACTTACTACTTAGCAATATTTCTAGAATAGGGGGGACATATGATTAGTTGTTTACTACATTGTTCTCTATTTAGGGGCCGTTGTTGGGATGAGGCCGGAAAAGTAAATCATCCCATTTGAAGATGCATTTCAGTGCTGGAAATTAAGAACCATGTTTGCTCCTTGATTATAGGAATAAAAGTTCCAAAAGTGATTGATTATCAAAACTTGAAATGGATAGTCCGGATAATAAATTACAAGATAACATTTTTAAGGCTTGAGATCTTATTATTTTTCTTTAGATTCATAACTCTCCAATTGATATTATCAATTTTGAATATTTTTTTACATGAAAATGGCAATTTCTTGTGAGATTTGATATGTAACTTTACTTTTTCAATTATAAGACCTAGGCCTCATATTAATGTTTTCCATAGTTAAATACTATTGAAGTAAAGGGCTTGGGCACGAGCAGTGTAGAAATCAAAGACAGATGCCTGTATATAACTCTTTTTCACATGGTTTATAAAAGGCATCAATTTTAAATAATCAAAAGTGCACCTTGAATTGAAGATTCAGTTTTGATGTCAAAAACCATCATCACCAGAGCCTTTTCTCGTCTAATTGAAGTCCGTTAATAAAAGACATATGAAACGCACTAAGCATAAGCAAGTAACGTATATTCCAAATTCATGAAAAAATTTAGTAAAATTTTACATTGGCTGCCTAATTAACACAACCCAGCTCCTTTACTCGAACGTGAGATACGTTAAGAAAAATTTTAAGGTTCTCGCCCTTTCAAAAACCCTACAGTGGTCTAAAAATGCATTTCCACTCCTAATTATGCAATCTAAGGCTCCAAATATCTTATAAATCAAACAGATCAATAAATACTTAAAATCTTGAAAATTGATACTTCTGATAATGTCACAAGAAATATTATTTGTAAGACTTGTAATTTTTTCATACTCATATATTTAGACGTCAAAATGATAAGTTCGTGAGTTTTCCAGCATTGAAATAACTTCTATAATGGGTTATTACTTAGACACCATATGTGATATGTACACCATAATGGACACAGTTAAAATAATCATCTAATCATAGTCGTCCCATTCGAAAATGGATAGTTCAAGATGGTAGTGTCAATTTCCAGACCCAGCAGTACCAATATGACCGGTCTCTATCATCTATGATGGCCACCCATTTTGGACAGAAATGGTTTAGATGTCATGTACCATTCTTATAGACCCAGCAGTAACAATATGACCGGTCTCTATCATCTATGATGACCACCCATTTTGGAAAGAAATGGTTTAGATGTCATGCACCATTCTTATGGAACATACCAGAGTGCATTAAGAGCCAAAAAGATATCGGGACGATATCCACTGGTACCATTTGGGCTTCAAACAATTCATCAATCAGAGAGATGTCCTTGATGATATCAGAAGATTGGAGAGGCCAAAAAGATATCGGGACGATATCCACTGGTACCATTTGGGCTTCAAACAATTCATCAATCAGAGAGATGTCCTTGATGATATCAGAAGATTAGAGAGGGGCAATAAAACTGTCTGAAGGCCAAATGATGGAATAGTATACAAAAACCAAATAAATTTGACGTAAGTTTTATTCATCGTAGTTCTATATTAAAAAGCCAATACTAGATTACACTTAATGAACCAAATCATTGTTAAATTTACAAAGAGAAGGCCAAAACTTTCATCCAATACAACCAGCAAAAGTGAGAGAGAGAGAGAGAGAGAGAGATGAGCATGTACGAGGCATCCACGATTGTTGATGAGACTAATTCCATAGGAGTATCTAATCCTTACTCTACCAACCAAGAACTACAGATTTGTTGTGATATTTACAGTTTGGCATTCGCAGGTGCACAGGGCCCTTGAATTCTTGACCATCCTTTGTGAACGTCGGATATGCATCTTTATGTTGACCACCTTGCCAGCTATCTGCATTCCAAATTAACCAAAGCATAACTGTGAAATCACCAAAAAAGACTTTTCCAAGATCACTGTTGTGTGCAAGTGTGTGCTAGCGTGTGCGTTAATAGCACTAATAGCCACCCATATTCATGAAATTTCCTTGTTGCATATCCAATGATCGTATGAAATTCCAAAATAAGAGCAGGATAGTTTTGGAATAAGAGCAAGTTAGTCTAAAGATTAATTTTTAAAGACATTACATGGCATAGGTAGCAATAAAAAAACACACACAATAAGTATATAGTTGGCAATCAACACGTGTTCGCACATGCGCAGGCATGGGCGCGCACACACACACAGAGACAGAGATATACCATTCTCCAAGTAAAATCTTCAGGTCCAAGCAGTTGAGCTGGACTTGAATATAGGAAATGCTTCGAGTGCTGGAAACACAGAAGCAACACCAAGTTAATCTGAATTCTAAAGAAGATCATCAAATTCATGAACTTCTACTGAGCTGGTATCAAAAGTACATAGAAATGCCACAAGTTAAACAAGTTACAAAACCATCAGCACAGTAAAGAAAAATCTATCAAGTCGCCTTGCAACATGTAGACAAGGAAGCAAACATTTTGCTGGACATCCTGGCTTGATTTCCACTTTTCAGGCTCCGAGTGCTATAAACAGCAGAGAGAGAGAGAGAGAGAGAGAGAGACCTACATATAGAAGGCAGTTTCATAAAACACTTTCGGTAATAGGCATAAGCATAATTTCAAAATCTTCACCAAAAGGAATAGGCACAGGCATAATTTCAAAACTTCACCAGAAGCATCAGTATTTTGCATATATCAAAACCGATCCACCTATAGTTTTTTAAACCATAATAAGCTCCTAGGGATGCAAAAAATGTCAAAAATGGAAATTCTACACACCCTGCCAAGATTTTCTCGCATTTCTTTGATTTTACTAGATTCGACACTCTTGAGGAATGCAAGAAGCCAGCCAGGTTTTACAGCATCGTCTGATGAAACAAATAATGCTATCTGCACAAGCAAAAAGGATACTTCATAACTAAACGTAGAAACATTCCTTAGAATGCTTGAGCAGATTGATAACCTAGGATTATCTAAAGAAAATGAACAAAATCCCTTATTTTCAGAATTCACCATGATCACCCATTCCAGGGACTTAAAATTTTGCACGGCACCCCAATACCTCTCTCTCCCTCTCTCTCTCCCTCTCTCTCTCCTCTCTCTCCTCTCTACTACACTACACTACACTACTACTACTACTACTACTACTACTACTACTACTACTACTACTACTA